AAAAAAAAAAAAAAAAAAAAACAGAAAAAAAAGCAATTAATCAACTGTTGTTTTTCTGATTTAAGGGAAACACGAAAAAGAGACTCACTCGACATGTCCTAGGACGAATAAGCTTGGATTCGCGGCATAATCAAAATATAGAGACGATCACTTACCAGCAACCGGTACGAGATCGCGGAGGCAAGCGGATGCGCGGTGGAGCGCTCAATGCCTTTTCGGACTTGGCGAAGGCATCAAACAGATCTTCCTTTGGGGCAATGATGGGTAACCGCAGAGGTTTCGCAGAGACTTTGCTCCGTCTGTTTTGCATGACCAGACTGGCCGTCATAAGGCTGTCCTGTGATCAGCGATGTAGGAACGGGCTGAATTGGAACACTTACTAGGGTACTCAGTATAGTAAAGTATATTAAGAGGTCAATTGTCAAAGGAAGAAAAGAGAAGGCTAGGGAAAAATTTAAAGATAGAAAAGAAGTTATAATAAAAATTAGAAGATAGAGGGGGAAAGGGAAGAGAAAGGCTGTATGCTATCAGAAAAAGTGCATAGGGGAGTTCATGTATTTTGGACGGGTGGCGGGATTAAGGGAAAATAAAATTATAAAATGATAAAATATTCTATTATTGTATTATTTTATTCGAAGGAATTATTGGAAAGGGAAAATAATCAGGGAAAGGAAGAGAATAGAGAGCTAAGGGGAAAAATAGAAAGGAAAAGGGCAGAAAAAAAGCCAAAAAAAACCAAGGAAAAGGAGAGACGAAAATAAAAAGCAAATGGCATGCAGATGCCAACCATGTGGACAGTCTTAGAAGATGCTATTATTACATCTCTTCTAACGTTATTAGCTTGCAGGGTCGCCCCGGACTAGGAGTAGAGTTGAGAGTGGGATGAGATAGGGTAGGAGAACGCCCGACTTAAGGGGCAAAGACAAGATCAGAATCATCCCTTCTTTTATCGGAGCCGAAGAATGAGCTCAATTAGGTGAATGTACAATATTGTATATGTTGTCGGCCATGTGTGGGGGAAAAGTACTAAGTCTCGATCGGCCCGGACCCCGGTCTGGATCGATCTAGTGAAGGTGAAAAGTCGAAGAGATCACACTTTCGGACTGTTTTGGGACAAGCTTAGCCAAGTTGGGACAAGCCTAGCCAAGTTAGGCCAAGTTTAGACACTTTTAGATACTTTGGGACTCTCCGCATTCCAAGCGGACTTGGCCGAGAATTAAGCGAGTGGCACAGCCTTGAGAGCATTTTGAGGAATCTCCCCTTATGGCTCTTATGCCATGCTCTAGACTTCCTATTGGTACGTCATTTGACTGCTCGTTTGACCCTATCGAATCCTCTAAAAATAAGAAATAAGCATCATTCAGGATCGGCCTGTAAATAGTATGAAAAACGTACAAAATAAATTAAAAATGGCCAAACCACGTGGGATTCTTAATTGGGGAACGCCAGGGCCTCGTCGAGTAAACGCTGTACCGGTCCGGATCGCTCACTGGCTCTCCACTCACGAACACGCATGACAAGTGTGTCAGGCACACCTTGGGCATGCGGACTTAGTTTCAGGTACGCTAGAATGGCCTCTGCACGACCCTTGCGGATGGCCTCGACAGACCCGTCCACTTCCCCCGTGAGAATCTTGTCCGCCAGAGCAGTCAAGGGTGCCGCCACTTGTTCACCGGATGCCTCTGGTAAGACGATCCACTGATCCACCCGTGTAAAGAAAGCCCGGAGCTCATCGTAGCCCGTGCTGACGACCTGTCGTCCACCATGTTGGAGCACTTGAGCGAGCGGACCAGTCATCTGTTCCACGTACTTTCCCAGCGCTATGGTTAGTGTTAGCAAGGTATGACGCTAGGGGTTTCCCACAATTCCACAATTTTGGGGGTAATTTGGGGGATTTAGGGGATTTAAGGGACTGACCTTCACCCGAATCGGCGGTGGGGTTGAAACATTGCAGGAGACATTGTACACACGCCGCAAGGGTGTCATCTTGGGTCGAGCCGCGCCCATTCCTCGAGTCTATCTCCATCTGATCTTGGTTTTGGTCTTCCATTTCTTCAACCACTCCCGGAATTATCTTTAATGCGTCCGGCATAAAGTTGAGGTCCTTGCGTGCCTGTGCGATCTCGCCCATTGCTCGCAGTCCATGCGGCCGGTAGAGGATGTTAGCTCGCTTCGCTTCGCGCACCGTAATAGTCTGACATGCGTTAGCATCAATTGCATATTTCTAACCTTTCCCCTCGTAATCAATTATAATAGTGGGAGGAAAGTGGCGGCATGTCAGCCCATACCTTCATCAGGCTCCTCAACTCCTCCTTGGCTTGCCACAACTTCTGAGCTTGCCCACTAAATTTCACTAGCGCCTTAAGCACCACTTCTTTACCTTCCCACGTCTTCCCCGCTAGAGCGCGTTCCAATACTGGCCAAACCAATTGGGCCGTCGGGAGGTCAATCTCCGCATCAAGCGATGAAACTGCTTGCGCAATTGCCCGTGCGGCCGTGTGCTTGATAGCCCAGCGGGGGGAGTCCAAATTGTCCGAAACGAGGCCCACAATCTCACGAATGTAAAGCGACACGGCACGCGATCCACCAACGTTATCTTGCCATGTCTTTTCAAACTGCTCTTTCACGTGCTCATCGCCATCGTGTTTACACACAAAGACGAACGGCAAGGCGCTCGTCGCAAATGCCATGAACCGGTCGTTGGACAGTTTGGACGCCGAGTACAAGATCTCGCCGGAGATCACTCGTGGCGTGGCATCCTCGGCCGTCAGATAGAGGCTTTTGGCAAAGTCAAAGGTCTTGAGAACCCGATCGTCCGAAGCGAGCCGCAGCAGATAGCCCATGGATGAGCAGTAGGAGGCGCTGACCGTGTCATTTCGGTCCACCACGTACTTGGTGAGGATTTGGATAAATCGGTCTGCGTATGGGCGGAAGAGCAAGGTTTTCATGCTAAGCAGCACCAGAACGCGGCTGCAACCCACCTTCGATGGCAGGCCCACAGCCGACCGAAGCACATCTTCGAGCCTCTGTGCCAGTTCGTCGAGATTGCTTTCATCCAAGTTGTCAATCAGATACCGCTCAATCACCTCCATCATGGGGGATGTGCGGATGCTGGACAAGCGCATTTTGTCGATCTCTTGACCGGTGAGGCCATATTTGTCGGCATTGAGGTGGACGTAATTGACAGCCTGTGGCTCCAGAGAGCTTAGAGCACTTAGGAACTTCTCCAGCATATTAGGAACATGTGGGCGCAGTAAGCTGCCAGGACTCTTCTTGATCATTGAGATAAGAGCACCAATGGCATATCCTTGCACTTCTTCCACGCTGGAATCCAGTCCCTTATCGCTCAGAAGAAAGGGGATGGCACTTTGGAGTAAAGTACCTGCGCGCTTTTCGGTGCCACTCGTCTCGAGTGTGCGGATGACCGAATTGGTAATGGTTTGACAGAGCTTTAGCGCGGCGGTGCGGACGGACTCCTTGATATCGTCCAGTAATTTGAAAGCCTTGCTGTAAATCTCATCGAGATATTGGGCGTACTTCTCCGGACGGCGACCTTGAATCAAGTCTGCCACCGCAGCGCAACTTGCTTGCCGAACACGCCATTCTCGACCAGCTAGAATACTCTTGAGAAGATCCTGCATGATATCATCAAAGTGGGTATCAATGATAACAGTAGGGTCCCTAACTAGTGCTTGCCAGATGGTGTTCATAGATCTTTGCACGTTCGGGTTTGGATCGAACCGGTAACGGAAAAGCTTGGGGTAAATCTTAGGGTTCTTCGCCAGATAGCCATCGACACTAGAATCAGAAAAGATACTGCTTATTCCAAAGCGGCCGAATGCCGCACGATTTGTCCAAATAGCATTGTTTGAAGCCAGGGACATAAAGCGGTAAACTAGAGTGGGATCACCCGCCTCGGCGGCCAGGTTCATGATATCCTTGTAGGTGTTGACGGACGACCCTTCACCAGTGGGGAGGGCCCCAGGCTCAAATAGCTGGGTGTCGGCCTCAATCTTGCCACCCCCGAGATTGGGACCAGTTGAAGTAAAGGACTCGACCAGGTCTTGGACCAGATCGTCTTTCAGGGATTGGTCACCAATCTCATATACAAGGCTGAGTCCGTGCGCTCCAGTCTCCTGCACCACCTCGTCCCGGTTTCCAAGGAGGCTGCTGAAAGTAGCTTGGCACCTACGCAGTCGCTCTTGCATCTCCTGCATGTGACCGCAGTTCTTAACCAGCGACAACAGCCAGATTGCAGACGCCTTCCGCAGAGATGGCTTGGGCGCAATGCAATCAGCAATGACCTTGTCATAGATGAGTGCAAACACCGAGCGCGGGACATCTGAGTGAGGGAACTCTCCGTCGATATCGAAGTCTTGGATAAGAGCCCGAGAATCCCAACCGACGGCGACATTGCTCAAGGCCTCGCCTACAGTGAACTGAACTTCGGGACCGCGGATTTCATGTAGACTGTAGAGTGAACTTAGGAAATCGGTGAACAAGGTACTACCTGAGCTAGATCGAGAAAAGGTCAGGGTCAACAACCCCAGAGATCTGATAGGGATTTGATTCTCGGTTTTGGCGTCGCGCGATAGCTTTTCCAGGATCTTTTTCCAGCCATTCTCTGGGATAATGTCAAGAGACAGCACGCCAGATAGACTTAGCTGTCCAATGGCCTCTTGTGCAGTCCTTTGGAGCAGAGTGTCCCGGGAAACATCTAGAATATCAAAGAGAGTCTCAATGGACTGCTTGGTTTGTGCTTCTGGGGCTCGGTTCGCTAGACCGCGGTACGAAAGCCGACTCAACAAATACGAGAGCGCTAAAATCGCCCCGCGGGCTCGCATAACCTCTTGACCAACAGCAGTATTCCACGACTGGATAGTAGCAGTCAGTTGAGTAATGAAACTCTTCAGTTGCTCCTCTGAGAAGGCAGGATGTGAAACCAGAATTCCGAATGCCCGTGCAGTAATACCCTGGTTATCTTGGTTGTTGCTGCAAATAGGCTCCATCAAAGATGTCGCACGCGAGATCAAGTGTTCAACAACGTCATTGGGTGCGAGCGAGCAGATTTCCACGAAATGAACACCGCATTGCCGCAGGCCTTCACGCTCGCCGGTTACAAGACCTTCGAGTGTGCCGGACAAAAACGCCAAAACAGACTCCTTTGCAGAATCTCGAATATACTGTCTCACGGCTGAACGGGCTTCCTCGCTGGTGGAGAGGAGCACTTCTAGCTTATAGTCCCAGTCTTGTTCTAGAGCTGCAGCAACCCCCGATGCCGAGAACGCCTCCCAAAGCAATGTATTTCGGAGAAATGAGATGGCAGGC